ATACATAAGTGGGTAAGTAGGCGCGAGAGAAGATGCTCCGTTCTGCTTTTTTTTCCCTTTTTTTTGCAGTCGATAACCGCCTCCGCGTCTCTCTCTCTGATTGCGTTCTTCCCGCGAACAATGGTACATTCGCGAACTCGCGCGCACAATAACGATAAAACGTTTCTCCTTTCCTCCTCCCTCCCTACTGAAGGAATTTAATCGTTCGGCATCGCGTGGCAGAGCTTCACCGTGGTAACAGGTCGAACGCGGACGGGCGTTAAGCCTTAATAGATACAGGTTTCACTCATTAAAGTGAGATTTTCTGTCGTATATACCGGGAGTCGGGAGCTCGAAACTCGATTTACCGATGTTTGCCCCGTTACGTGTTACATTCCTTCGCGCGTTCTACCGTTTTGCGACAAGGAAGAAAAAAGGCTCCGATATGAAGCGTGGATATGATCTTAATTAAAAAGGAAAAAAAAAGAAAGAATAATTACGAATTATATTATACACACATGTGTGTGTGTGTGTACATTAACGACGACGACGACGATCGGAAATTACGATAACGTAAACGCGAGTACTCGGAATATATGTGAGTAACATTAATTATTTCGTGGAAAAACGGTTGTTTAGAGCTTATTTAAAGTCGATTAGCGCTTATAGAGCCGCGCCCAAATTAGTGGAACGCTACTCGCGTAGACATTCCTCGTTCAGGGTGTCAAGGAAATCTGGAAAACCGGGCATTCTCAGGGAATTTTATAAATCTGGAATTGTCAGGAAATTTTACTATTTATCTGGATTTTTTTTACATTATTCTACATTTGTCGCAATAATTTGAAATTTTTTATTAAATAAATATAAACTTTTCTTTGACTTCCAGCACGCTAATTTTCTGTGTTGTTAAAAATCGATTCGAAAATGTCGAGACATCAATCATTTTCGAGTTATGAGCGACTGCAAATAAGAGGTTTTGCGCAAACTAAACTTTGTAGAAATAAAATATTAACAAAACCACATTCTTCAATTAATTTCAAGTATAGCGTTCACTTTAATAGAATTTTAATTTAAGGCTTAAATGCAAAAAATAATGGTCTCCCTCGACATTTTCGCTGAGAAAAAAATCGTCTCCAAATGATCCCACAGGATATCTAGCGATTAGGGAAATCTAGAAAACCAGGCATTGTCAGGGAATTTTATAAATCTGGAATTGTCAGGGAAAAGTCAGGAAATTGTACTATTTATCTGGATTTTTTCACACATTATTCTACATTTGTCTTAATAATTTGAAATTTTTTATTAAATTAACTTTTAACACGCTAATTTTCTGTGTTGTTAAAAATCGATTCACCTACAGCGTATTCGTTAATTTATATTTTCATCGTCGTGTTATTTTGTTTCAACGTGTTTGATAGAGACAAAACTAAAAAATTTGATATAATATAAATAAAAAGGTAATTATTTAAATATAGTTTATAATGACATGTTTGTTTCGATTATTGTACATAATGCAGATTGTATAATTGATTTAAATTTTTGTTTTAACTTCCGAACCTTTTCATTTCTTGACAAAAATATCTCAAGAATTTCATGATTTAACATTTCATCGATTTATCATATAGATATGCAATTATATATATTTGGAAAAAATAATACTAAAAAGTCAGGAAAAAAATAAATTTCTGATCTCGAAAAATCTGAAAAAGTCGGGGAATTTTTGCGTCATTAAGTCTACTGGTAGACATTCTTCGCTAAAGTATTACGAAACAATACCTGCTGTTACTTGGGTTAACGCGATGATGAAAAAAAAAAAAAAAGATTCTCAGTGCCGCTGAAAAATCTTCGCGCTGACTTTCTCGTCAGCTGATGATGCATATCTCGTATACTGCGTACAAGGTTGCTTGAGAAATCGCGCGAATGTGAGAAAGAGTAAAAAGCACCGCGACTGATTTTCCTTATGAATTAATCCTCCGGTATATAATTTAGCAGAAACACAATAAAGAGCGGCACGACTTTCCTCGTCACCCAGGAGGTACCGTGCCCGGACGCGTTCCCGTTTTTTTACATGGCGGGAATCCCCAGGAGGCCTACACCATGCCACACGCACGTATTCAGGACGTGTGGAAAATGATACGAAAATAGAAGTTGTCGCAATTATTTTTTACTTTCTTTTTTTTTTTTTTGGTCAATCATAATTGCTCGTGGAGATGTGCGCAAAGCCTCGTAAGAATGTTCATATTTCTGACACAGTTTAACGTTAATCGCTCCTTCGAACGATATCGGCGAGCCAAGTATTTACATCGTGAGGTAGAGAATCTTAGATTCATATATATTTTACGATATATCGTACGTAATTAACCGTTCACTTATCCATGACTCGAAAAAAATGTGTATAACGTAATCATGAATATCTTGTTATTTTATAACGTAATCGAAGCGTCTTGTAATATTTCATTACTTGTTTGATGTATCCGCGTAAAATAACGCGAGCTATATAGTATAAGATCTTAGTCTTCTAATCTAATGGCTTACATAAAACGTGCCTGGAGGAATAAATTTATAAATCCGTAAGCAGGGAAAATTAATCATATTTACCGTATTTCTCGTGACGCAGCATCACGTACACGTGCTTCTCAACGTTAACGATCATATCCGTCGATGGAAAATTGAAAAGCTCGCTTTAATTTCATCTCACTGTTCTCGCGAAATGCGTATATAGTCACTTGATTAAATATCACGTACCTGCTCGATTTTTTGTTATTTATTTTTTTTTTCCAAGCCGCACCGAGATCGTTCGTGACGGAACGTATATGAGAGACCTAACATTATACTACGACCGATATAAATCTCGTGTAATATATCGGTGTGCGTATCTCTTACACGCTAAGCACTCTTATGTTATATACCCAGTGGATGTAATATACCTCTACGATGCTATCTGACGTACAGACCAATTTGAAACGCAGTCGGCCGACAACGCGATCGTGGGCCAAGGGGTCCGTTGCTTGCGCGATAAACCGATCACGTGAACTCAAAGAGATGCTACACGCTACCGGAACGGAGCCTTATATATCCTGGAAGTTATTGATCATCCCTTCGCTTCTCCGCTCAGGTCAGGTCGGTCGCCGCTCGGTGCACGTGCGCAGATTCTTTCCGCCCGACGCGGCCGAAGCGCGGAAGCGCTCCCTCTATTCTATACCATTACGTATGCCTTATTTCACGTTTTTTTTAGACTGTTGCGAGTGACAGAATAATCCATCGCGGTACACATACAATTGACAAACTTGTGCTAAATTTAATAGATGTCCTGAACGGTCCACAGAAATTTTTGTTACTTTAACATGATATATATGGATATCTGTTAAATGCATGGCAGGGTTGAGAATAACTAGTTAATTAGTTGAAAGTTAAAAAAGTTAAAAAGTTCATTACTTTTAATTTAATTTAGTTAATTTAAAATGTATTAATTTTAACTTCAACTAGTTATTTTTGCCTTAAACTTTTTTCCTAAGTTAAATTTTTTTTAATACTATTATTGTTTTTTTATAAGTTATAAACGTATTATTTTTAAATTAAAGTGTTAAAATAATTTTTATGTTCATTTGTCATTAATTGTAATTACAAAAAAAATATATTTCTATATAAAAATAAAAAAATTTTAATAGATAAAACTTGTCACTAATAAAGCAAAACATATTTATTATGTAAAATTAAAAATAGATGCATATTATGTTATTTTTACATCTTTTTTTAGTTGTTTTAATAATTTAATATTTAAGTTTATATAACACAACAGCAATATGTTAAATTAACACATGAATGTGTTAAATATTTAACAAAAAATTTTAACGGGGACCGTTTTTAACAAGAAAACATACATTTTTTACTGTGCACGTACGCGTAGAGACTGATCTTAGTTTTCATCAGATATTCTTCAATATTGTCTGCCCTCTGTTTAATATCGTGAACGTGCAATTTTTGTTATTACTTGAAGAATATTATCGAAGAATGATTTATCGAAGATATATTTTCAGAATTTTTTAAGGAATATTTTATTAATATTTTACGGCTTGGAGTATTTAAAGAATATTTTTAAAAATTATTGTATCGCTTTTATGAAGAATTACGATCGTTTCGAGACCGATTTTTAATTGTCACAGGAACATACTTGTCATTTTTTAATTTTAAGTTTGAAGTTGTAAGAATTCGATGATAAACGGTTACAATTTCAATTTTTTCAGACTTATTTTTATTCTCTTCGAAATATTATCGATTCATAAATATTTTAAGCCGGACGACTCAAATGTCTGAAGGAAAATCATCAGAAATGTCCGAGATATGTATAAAAGAACGACTGAAAGATTAGGACGTCTGTTAGATGTCTGTTAAACTTTCACATCGTCGGGAAACGAAACTGAGCATAATTGCGGTCATCTAAAATGAATACTCGAATTATATTGTGGTTGTCGTGAAATTCGCATCTCAAGTTCTACATATAACTGAAAAACTGTTGTAAAAGTCACATCATTTGCTTCTCTTTTTCTAATAATTCCACATAAGCAATTAACACAATATGACTGCAAAATTAATTAGATTGAATAATTTTTACATTTTTTATTGTGTAATATAATAATATTGATATTTTTCCTTTCTAAATATTAATAAATGTAACATATTTTTTATATATTAATATATTAGAAAACCAGCGAGAAAAAGTATTCTCAGAAATATTTTTAATAACAAATTAAAATGTTAGATTAGTCTTATTTATTCCTCGTTTTTTAATAAATCTTTTTTTTACGTGATTGTACATTTTTTAACAACTTTATAAATTATTGAAAGCAAATATCCAAACTTGCTTATGATTTATAACGACGATGATGTATTTTTAAATCTAAATACGAGCATTTTTTATGAAAATACATATCGAAATTACGCAGCATCGGAATGACAGGTAACTGCTGTATTTGTTTAATGTATTGTTAACAAAGTATGGCTAGATGGCAGGATATACCACTTCCAGTTAGCAGTCAGCCTCAGTGGCTGCAGTAGATCACAACAAGTACTGCGTCTGTTCCGTTCTATAACATTAGTCTGAGAAAAATATTAGACTTATTATAACGTCTGGAGATTAGAATAACATCCGATACACGGTATCCCGAACTCAGCATCTAAAGACACACATTTTTAATAGGTATGTACGTTGTAAATATTGTGTACTGATGGTGTACAGACGCCAACCACGCTAAAATACTTCCAGTCACTATAGGTGGCGATAGTAGATCGATAACTGCGCATTCCATTCGATTCATTCGATATATATCGAATTCGTCGATTCATTCGAGATATAATTTGAATTTAAAGAAAATTGAACATAGCTGAACTAGCTCTAAAGATGCTTAACAATTACACTTGATGTGAAAATTAAATTGGAGAAACTATAATTATTATCTATAATATTAAATTTATTAAATTTATGATATTATAAAAATATATAAATACAACAAATTAGATTTAGAAAGTTACATTCAATCACGCATTAATAATTACATCTCAATAATCAAATTAGGTATAGTTAATTAATTAACGATATTTTTGTACTTCCAGGATATATTTTAATTAGAAAACGTATGACTTTAAAATTTATATCTGGCTATGATATGTTGCTAAAATGATCGACAGGAGGAAATTATTGTATAATGGGGAAAACAAAGAGAATACCGAGGCCGTTTATAAAAATTAAGCGTCTTTTGAGGAAGAGAAAAATGATTCTACTGGGTCACGAAATTAAGAAACATGTACGATGGAAATGGGAACGAGACAAAATGCACTCTAATTTGGAGTCGATCGCCACGATTAATCTTAACGCATTAAAAATTACAACTGATGATCCAGAAATTTATGTAGACTGTATCAGAGGCATGTCAACCGTATCGATTTACGATCGCAATTATAGAAACCCGATGCAAGAAAACATTTCCGAAGTTTCCGTGCATATCAGACCCGACGTGACACATAAATTGAATAATTTGGGCATCGGTGATGAAAATGAATCAAATTGTGACGCAAACCCACCGCAACAGGACATCGAATGCGATATTTTACAACAAACTTCGATCCTTCGTATAAGCGACATTAACGAGCCAGATATAAACGAAAGAATGAAAAATATTATCGTGTCGGAGAATGTAAATATGCAGTGAGACGAATTTTCAAGATTAGAAAAAAGATATTATCTGCGTTTTTTAACGTAAATACTCTATATTAATCTCTCGTATCAATATATATATATATATTAAATATATCTTGCATAATACTCTTGCATATCTTTCATAATTTTTCACAATATTATACGTAACACAATATTATACGATTTGATTTTATAATAGATATATTAGTCTTGTATTTATATGTAAGTATTTACAGTATAAACTAATGAGACTTTTGTAATCTAATTAATTAAATATTATTCTATATAAATTTACGCTCTATTTCTTTCTAGAGAAATTTTAATTTGTTATTAAAAATATTTCCGAGAATGTTTTTCCTCGCTGGTTTTCCAGTATTGTTACATTTATTAATATTTAGAAAGGAAAAAATATCGATATTATTATATTACATAATAATTTTTTCTCATCTACATTTGTGACAGAATTATGAAAAATATAAGAGTTTGTTCTCGTACTCAGTTGAAGTGAATGATCGTCAGTTTTACAGAGAGGTATATCGGGTTGCCTATATACTATCGTAAGATGAATGAATCGAGATCATATCGAGAGCTGTAACCTTGAGTTACGAAAATGTGGAGCGCGTTCTAATTCAACTGAACTATGAAAAATGCAAGGAAAGGATACATTCGACCAACTGTACACTATATAGGCCCGTTTTACCGCGATTAAAATTATTGTATTATCTATAATTTAGTTTTAAAATGCGGCTGAATTTTCCAAATTTTTTCAAAAAAATTTGTAAGTATATATTATTTGTTTGATTCGATCAAACTTGTGATATATTGGATCGAAAAGGAGAGCCACTAAGAAATTTAACAGCTGATTAGAGGAATTGCATGAATTATGTCTTATTGTTTACTACTTATTTGAATTTCCGAGGAGAAAATGTGTCGCATTATGAATTTTAATGCGTCACATATTGCGTTTGAGACGCTCCGATGTAACTCGATGCGTCAGAATCGATTAGGCAGCAAAGAGGTTGTTATTGAAGTTTCAAGTTTCGGCGTAGAGCCGTATGATGTGCTGCTATTACAAAATACCATTCTTTATTAAGCATTCCTTACTAAATAGAGCCATTGTGTTATAAATTATTATTAATTCTAGCCAATTATATATTATTAATTATTTAGCCCTTAATTATTTTTAGATTGCATATTTCGATTATAGTGAATGAATAAGAATGAAAAATTCATAGTGAAACAAAAATGCGGTAATTATTTCCTTAGGTATAAAAAAATTACGGTAAATTAAAATTATTTAAACTAGACACATCGCATAAATATAAGAATATATCTTCTAGTTTAGCGACTGTGATGTGGCGAGGAACGTAACGGTGTATTAATACTCGTATAACTCCAAGCGACTAATTGAATCACGTGCAATTAAGATCTGGTCGTACCGATCGTTTTTTAACGATTTGTTGCCGTTTTGTAGATAAAGACGAAGACGAGAAAATTTATTTAATCGTAAACTTTATTTTACTATTTATTATTTTAAATAGTTGATTCATTTATTTTTTCTCTATTTAATTGATTTATCAAATCATAAGGAATAAATAGAAATTTAAATAAAATTCCATTCCATGTTTACTTCAAAAGATATTTTTGGGTTAAAATTTTTTTTTTAATTAATCTTAAAATTCCATACATTTTTTTAAACTTAGGTAATTTTCTTCCAGCAAATCTTTATAGTTATTTCTATTCATATCCAACCGGAATGACACTTTTTTTTGCTTATGCAATTCTTCATTCAATTTCTAATAAATTAAGGAAAGTCTAACTGCTCTTTTATCATCAATTATTATTTTATATTTTTTACTTTTAATTTCGATAGGTTTGATTCTAAATTTATACAACCAGGAAAAAATTCTAATTAAGAATTATACAGTTGAAAAATGTGTGTTAAATTTAACAGATATCACATGTCCCAAATAGTCCACAGACATTTTTGTGTTAATTTAACATAATATGGATATATGTTAAATGAAGACACAAATATTGTGGTAATATTTTAACACAAGGTAAATACAAAATTTCAAGTAATTTAAAACAAATTTTGTGTAAAATTAACATAGTTGTAAAAGTTAACTAAAAATATATAAATTTTAGATTTTATTATTCCCACTTATGTAATAAAAAATTAACATTTTTCTGTAAATTTTAACATAAATTTTATCACTAATAAAACAGAACATATGTATTTATTGTGTAAAATTTAAAATAGATGCACATTGTGTTATTTTACTTTTTTTTTTAGTTGTTTTAATAATTTAATATTTTTAAATTTAATTAACACATCAGCAATATGTTAAAGTAACTCATGAATGTATTAAATATTTAACACAATTTTAACGGGGCCCGTTTTTAACAAGAAAACAAATTTTCCTATACTGTGTATAGGAAGAGATTCTCATATATAGATAGGGTTGGGTAAGTTAATGATGTTTTTAAATTAAGTTAAGTTAAAGTTAATTGCTTATAAAATTAATTTAGTTAAGTTAAAAGTTGCATGAACAAAAAATTAACTCAGTTAAAGTTAAGATTAAATTAATTGAAGTTATATATCAAAAGTTAATGTTTAAAAATATTTATATTAAGTTAGAATTTTGTTTGTTAATTCTTTAAAATTCATAATAACAAATAACAAAGAAATTTTGATTTTTATATAGAAATATATATTTTTAGTAATTACAATTGATGACAAATAAACATAAAAATTAATAACACTTTAATTTAAAAATAATACGTTTATAACTTAAAAAAAAAAAATAATCGTATTCAGAGATAAAAAAATTCAACTTGGGAAAAAAGTTAATAAGTTTAAGGTGAAAAATAACTGGTTGAAGTTAAAAATTAATACATTTTAAATGACCTAAGCTAAATTAAAAATGATAAACTTTTAGTTAAAAATAATATTCGGTCGAGAAATAATATTCGGTCGGAATGGACGAGAAGATGCAACAAAAGAGGTACCCGGGGGCCACGTTGGGTCGGCTCTGGAATGGAACTGGAAACGAAAGGCTCGCCGAGCCTGAGCGGGAAGGGGGAACGCTGGATGCCAGGCGTATATACGGTGTTGTATACGTGTGTTGATGCAAGTGCGGCGGCTGTAGCAGACCGAAGGAGTCGGTCAGTCAGTCAGTCAGTCGCTCTCGGCCGGCAGCCGCGCGATCATCGCGTGGGCGTCCTTTGCTTCTTCTTTTTTCCGTTCTTATTTTCGGTGTGCGGTGTTTTTTTTTTTATATTTATTTATTATAGTGATTCGAAAGAAACCTCGCTCTCATCGGGATTATCGCGAAATGCGTCTCGCCGAACGCGATCTCTGAGATCTTCCTCTGCGAAAAGGTAAAAGACTGACTTTTCGTTTTTATTTCGAATACTAGCGCGAAAATCTTTTTATTATTTAACGAATATATATTTGCGAAAGATGAGAGATTCGCGAGAGTAGTCAGGGATTCGGAGCTGGAGCGAATCAGGTCCGGCATTTCTATACGGAAGTCCGCTACAGAGTCGGTGGATATCTAAAGCGAATCTTAAATTGTGTGGACTTGATTCCACTTTGATATATGGCACTGAATCTTGGCGATATTCTGGATTGTGTATTTATGCGGGTTTTTAGCGAAAACTATAGAAAAATGAGAAATCTCTCTGAGATAAATCGCTTATTTCGAATCAGAAAATTCGTGATGCGTATCACTTCTCTTTTTTTTCCTCTTAATTTCCGTTGCAGCAGACGTCGCGATACGATCGTAATATCCAGGACAAATACGAGATAAGCATGTTCACGACGTATATATGAATTGCAAACTGATGAAACTCCACCGAAATATATACCTATATATATATGTTTCCTCGATAATAAATCTGATCATTTAAGATTGTAATCTCTCTGTGTATGTATGTTAATGAAAGATGGAGGGAAGAAACAAAACTACTAAAATGCATCATGCAATACACGTCTTCAAATTTTTTCAATCACATAAGCAGCTGATATATATATGTATGTAGGATCAGAGATTGAAAACAGGGAGTGTACAGTATCTGAGTCATTTATTTGTCCGGGACTAAAAATTCTAGTCGTTTTATTTTCTGTGTATTTATTATGAATTTGCCAATGTCTCTCTTGGATGCTTTATCGAAAACAAAATCTATCTTTATAAAATTTAATATTTAAAGCTGCAAAAATAAAGATTTTAAGAAAAAAATGCTTGATATGTTTTCTATAAATTTTTATAAATATAAATCGCGTGAAAAATAAGGAAAATTGTGTACATTTTATAAAATTTTTAAATTACTATACCTATATATCAAGAGTAATTAATTTTGCAAGAGGAAGCTTAAAATTATACGTGAGTCACAAATTTCATTTTATTAAAACGATAATACATTTAAAAATAAAAAATATACACTTATCGCACACGTGCACATCTCTGAGTTTAATTTTGTAAGTATCTTACATAAACGTTGATTTAACATAGTATTTAGCCTGTGCAAACATTTCTCAACAATGTCATATGGAAAACTTTTATTTATAGACCGATATTGTACACAATGCAAAGTGGCTCCACTGTTACTCGAACATTTTTTAGATTGCCCATACGTAAACATACAACGAGAGAAAAATAACAAAGAGGCTTTTGAGAGCGCGCCATCAATTTTATTGACTATTCTTTTTTCGTTCCAATATTTTACGACTTTTTTAATTATCCAATTAATTTATACTATTAAAAAATTAAATAGTATAATAAAATAAATATTCTTTTTATTTGTTCTTTCGCTTCTCCATATAATTTGCACATACGAAAAGGAAATAATTTATATAGAACATAAGCGTTTTCCAAGTAACTCTATTCATGCGTGCGATGATTAATCCGAGTCTGATTTTCCAGTTTTCTTTTTTCTTTTTAATTTCACTATTCGCATTTCCGGCGGCTTTCGCGAGCACATTTCTCCGCGACACGCTGCGCTACGCACCGCACTGTGATAAAGTGTCTGCGGTGATAATGTGCAGAACTTGCGTGTGATAAAACTTGGGAGCTTCTACTTTCGAACGA